TCTGTCTCTTCTTTATAGACACACCAATCACCACGACATAATCACCACCACACCACTGCTGTCGTGAACTTCAGCAGTCGACAACTCTTCTTTCAGCACACATATGAGGAAAAATGCAGAGGAACACGACTGATATGCATATCAGTCACACCAAGCTCCACAACAACCAACTTTTGAAGCAAAACAAAAAAAAACATTCACAGTCCCTTACTTGAACACACGACAGCAGTGTTCATACCTGTCCACATTCAGCCCTCTTCGTACATTGTATAGAGGGTTTAGTATACCACTTCAACGACCACCACGACAGCGACCGGAGGCATTCTCACCTCCAGGCCCACAAAACGACAGCTCCTTTTCAGCCCCTATCGAACCTCCACTCAGGTCAGCCGAAAAATGAAGATTACTGTGAGAGTTGGCGGCGAACCCAGAAAGAGAACAGCAGCAAGAAAGAATGAAAGTAAGAGAAAGGAGAATATGACCTTACTGCTCTGATACCATGTAAGTAAACCCTAGTAGATTCTAGGTCGAAGTAGAGAAGAAGAAAGAAAGGAGAAAGAAGAAGAAAGTTCGGCCAGACTAGAAGAGAGTAAAAAATTCCAACTCCCCTAGCCGACCCACTTGTATTTATTCAAAATCATAGAGTTACAAGAAAGACCATTTTGTCCCTCATAGTAGATGGGACACAACTTAAACTCAGATACAATAGACCCTTCACTCTCAAGCAGATAAACCAGAATGACCAAAATACCCCTGACTCGAGCATTCTAACATTTCTCATATCAGTGGTAGGGGTATTAGTGGAGTTACACATGTTTTAATTTGCAAACATATAAATAGATGGATGGAACGGCAGGTCCATAACTAACTGTGCCCTTTTTCTCTTCTCTTCTTCTCCTCTCTTCTTCTCTTCTATTCTCTGCTTTTATTTTCTCTTTTCTTATTGACACTTATAACCCTTTTGAGTGAGAGAGTAGCCAAGGAAATTTCCACGGGTGGCTTTGGGGTCAAGTTTAGTCATTTTTTGGTCAGTGACATGAATAAAACATACACAACCAAAAACCTTCGGAGGTAGAGAAGAAATAACTTGATTAGGACAAAGAACAGAGAAGGTGATCTTCATACCGAGTACCTTGGATGGCATCTTATTTATGAGGTACGAGGTTGCGAGAACATCATGTGACCAAAATTTTTTTGGAATTTTATGCTGAAACAATAATGCACAAGTAGTCTCAAGTAAATGGCAATTCTTTCTCTCAGCTACCCCATTTTGTTGTGAGGTGTAAGTGCAAGATTATTGATGTATGATTCCTTTGTCTTCAAGAATACTTTATCAAACAATTCAGGAAACAAAGTTTTCAATGATGAAAAAGAGAAATGGACATGTCTAGTATGCCAAAAAACTCTAGAGATCAGCTCTTGACTATTGCAACCATCCCCACTAGATGCCTGTAGAGTAGCACCAATATCTTCATTCAGGTAGTAGAGACCCCCAGCTTCACAACCACTCCCAGTCACTCGTCTCGTCAACTGGTCCTGAAAACACAATGAGTAGGGAAGAAAGTCGCACATCAATCTAAATCTTTGGTAATCTTAGAAACTAATAACAAATTTGTAGTAAAGCTAGGAACATGTAACCCATGAATATGGTGGAGGGGGTTGAGTGGCATTCAAAGCAGAAGCTATACCTGACTTAGCAAATGAGGATTGTTTCAGTCAAACTATAACTCGGTTAAGAATGTCTACCTCCTCAGCAGTAAAGTCTGGAAAGCTAGAGTTGGGAGTAGTGGTCTGTCCCGAATGCATAGAAGCACATGAAGGGCCACTCTTCTTTCCACTATGAGCCACATTTGAGCTAGCCACATATCCAACACCACTGCAGTTTTTATATGGCTTCCGTTCTTTATTTAACGCAGCTGATTTGAGGTGGGGATACAGAATCCAGAATGTGTCCTTGGTACGTTTTTCTCCTCCACAATGACTACACTTAAAGTTTCTTTTGCCACCATTTTTATTTCCTTTACCAGTGCTGATTGTTTAGTAGGCTGAAAACGAGTTTCACTCATCACTTTTCTTCTCAGTTCTTCATTTCTTATTAAATAGAAAACATGCTGCAGATTAGGTAACTCATCCCTCAAAGGAGAGAATTAGCCCTACAAGAAACTTAAATATCCGACCTTCCTCAATCTGTTTATCATGATTTTCTTTATCTTTGGTGCTCTCCCAGTCTAAAATCAGGTGGTGATCAAGTTCCTCCCAAAGACCCTCCAGTGTTGCAAAGTAGGTTGCCACAGAGAGGTCTCCTTGGTTCATAGCTGCACTGTCCTGGTTCAGCCTATACACCCGAGCAAAATTCTTTCTCTGTCCATTTGTTTTTTGAAGCTTGTCTCATATTTTATATGTTGTGCTATAATTCTGTACGGTTCTTGCAATCTTGGGTGTCATAGATTGGAGAAGCCAAGAAATCACAGTGGATTCTCCCTACACCAAAATTTATACTCTGGTTTACCAGCCTTTGGCTCAGTGACCTGTCTATTAATGTGTCCTTGCATTCCTCTAGTGATAATAGCAAGCTTAGCCAAAATATCCCATTCAGCATAGTTGAATTCATCCAACTTACTATTTGGTAATTTGAAAGGTAGGGCTGTCAAAAATAGGAAGCATCTCTCCTTGTTTTCCTCTAACGAAACCTCACTGGTTGTAGACATTCTTGACAGTAGGTACCAAATGTCACACCCAACAACACAAGGGAAAAATACCAAAGAAACAAATATAGCAAGGGAGAATACAGTTTACCTTCTGGAAAACCTAAAACTAGGAATAGGCCAAGGAAAAACAGTTCCTCAAGATTCAAAAAGAGGAAAACGTTGCACAGTAATAGTTTTCTGAAGCAGTAACCTCTGGAAGATTATACTTCTTGTTGTAACAGACTTTCAGCTAGTTCCCCTTTGCTGTAAAACCCTAGACCTGAACTCAGGTCTTAACTGCTCCTTTTCTTACCCTAACAGGGCATAAACAAAATTTCTTAGGGTTAGAGGAAGACAAACAGGTGCTCTAGGAGTCCATGAACAGTCTAGAACTTCAGCTCTCCTGGGTTGGACGTGAAGACAAAGAAAAATATCAAGAAACAAGAGAAGAGGCTCTGATTCTTCAAGAGAAAGCTTCTAGTGCTCTGATACCATGTAGTCTGTTGAGGAAGAATGAAGAAGAAGAGAAGAATGGAACAGCCTAAGATGTTTTGAGAATGGGGCGGCTTTCTCTCCTGCTCTACCCAGAAATTTACATTAAGGTTTAAAAGAAAAGAAATACATAAAAGCCCCTTATTAGGTGGGCTGAGAAAAACAAAAGAAACACATAATGTACAAGGCCCAGGCCCACTACTAACCAAAACAACACTTAAGCCCACTAACATATTATGTCTCATAACAGGTAATACAAGTATTACAAAAATAGCTTCTAATCTCATTTTTAATGAGAGGAGTAAACACATTGAGGTGGATTGCACTTCATTTAGGACATATTTCTTGCTGACTTTATCACTCTTCCACATGTAGCCTTGGACATGCAGATTGCTGACATATTCATAAATGCAATGACTGGATCCATACATCTCTTGTTGGCAAACTAATGCTTATGTCTACGCATTCGTTTGAGGGGGAGTGTGGAGATTTTAGGACTTAATAACACTTTGTATACTGTATTATTATAGTCCTTGTTGTATCTAGTCTCTTTATTCTTTATTTCACTTTCTCTTCAGCCCTATAAGGGCATTCTTATAACTGTAGATATATTATATTATAAAAGAGACTCTTTGAGGTGGTCGATTTTTTCTTGACACCCTTAATTCAGTTTTGTGCTCTTCTGCTGTTTACTGTTATGACTAGGAAGGTTGTCATTATCCACTGTTGCATTAGTTACGATTGTTGTTGCTGATAAAAAAACATTTAGAATTCTTGAAAAAATCTTCCATATGTGCAACTCTGAAGTTTGAAAATTTATCTAGATAATATCTTAGGTCATATGTCCTTGGACATTGTATTATCTGATGAATAGTTGCTTTTGGTTGTTCTAGTCCCTTGTAACCGATGTATTGTAGTTGAAATCTCCTCCCATTCTTGTGAACTTTTTATTCCTCAACAAAATTTTACTTTACTATAAATAAATCCCCTGGACAAAATTATCACAATATTACAGATAGGATAGGGTTTTGATTCAACGAAGGGGCCTTCACATGAGATGGTATTGTCTAATGTCAGGTTACAATCTACTTAAATAGTTAAATTTTATTGATAGTAATTGCAAACACCCAAAAAAGGTAATGCATGTTTCCAGATTTGCAATGTATTGATCTTTTTCAGTTGACCATAAAATCTTCCCTAAACTGGTGCAAGTGCCATGTAAGAAGTTACTTATACAAAGGATAAAAATGGGTCCATTATTTCTTTCAAGTTAGTCAGACCTAGGAAGGCATCTTTTTGCATGTTTTATTGAATTATCTTTACTTATTTGGCAGCAAAGATCAGCTAAGCAAGTGTGGTCTTGATGGATCTTTGTATGCAACTATTGACAAGGTAAGCTATCTATTTGCATGACTATCTACAATCTGTAATTCTAATAAACGTTGTAAGATATTGTTGCAATAAATTGTTGTTGACTTGCAGAAAGGTATATTTTATAGTAAAATGAAAATATAAAAGAAAAGAAAAAGAAGTATATAAGAAATTTATGGGCATTAGAGCCCCAAAAAGATAAGAAGACAAAGCTGGAGTGAAATATAAAAAGATCAGCCCCTTGCAACAAATATACTGCCCTCTGTACAAAGGCTCCCCACTTCTAAAATCTACCAATTAAACATAAGAAAGAATTGAACCAATCAAGATATCAAAAGCATCCCACTGCTGTTCTAAAAGCCAATTGGGAGACTTGATTTTTTTCTCCTCAGTCAGCAGGCCTCTTCTCCAAAACCAGCTATTCCTAACAAACTGGGGTTATATGATTTGTACATTACAGATTAAGTGAGAATGTTAGAGGGAGTGTGGGGTTTAAGTTATTTCCATCTTTTTGTCTGTTTTTTATTTCTTTTCTTGGCATCAATTTCTTCCTCAGAAGCACAATGACAGCCAATCTCAGCCTTTGTATCACTGAAAGTAGTTCAGCTTGAATGAGTTGCCATTACTGAAAGGGCTAGAACTAATTGTGGAACCTCACCTCAAGGAATTTTAAAAGGTCCCTCTAAAATAAGAACTTTTTACATGTAACAGAAGACAAATAGTAAGAGGCAATAATTTTCTACTCTAGCTAATTATCAAAAAAAAACATTTCTACTGTAGCTGTTGACTAGGGTAGAAACAGAAAAGAATTCTATAATGATGCCTTAGCAGGAAAAAATATATATCATCATCATCTAAGCCTTGTCCCATCTATATGGGGTTGGCTACATGAATTATGGGTGTTTAAATCATTACTCATTACTTCCACCCATGTCCTTTTCGGTCTGTCCCTAGAACTTATATCCCCTTCAACTTGTAACAGATCACTTTTTCTAACAAGTGCTGTAGATGATCTTCTATGCACATGACTAAACTATCTCAATCTACTTTCTCTCATTTTGACACCTATTGGAGATACTCCTAGGTTCCTTTGTATGATTTCATTTCTAGCCATCAATCGCATTCACGTTTCTGCCACTCATTTTTTGGACATGCTGTTTTTTAATTGCCAAACATTCCGCTCCATACAGCAGAAAGTAGACTGAGATGGTTAGAAATGAAGAAACCTGGGAGTAGCTAGGACTGGGTTAGAAATGAAGTGATACAAAGGAACCTAAGAGTAGTTCCGATAGGTGATAAAACGAGAGAAAGTAGATGGTTTCTTATATGCATAAAAGAGCATCTACAGCACCTGTTAGAAAAAGTGATTTGTTACAAATTGAAGGGGCTAGAAGAGCTAGATGCAGACCAAAAAGGACTTGATAGAAGTAATAAGAAATGAATTTAAGCGCCCGTATGGATATGGCACTGAATAGAACGGAATGGCAAAGTAGCATTCATGTAGCTGACCTCATATGGTTAGAACAAGGCTTAGATGATTATGATGATGAGTCATAGAAGAATTGACTAAACATATTTAAGAGCTTGTCCCATGGTGGCTGATGTTTGCTGTCTAGCTGATGACATAGTATTAATTGATGAAACTAGCAAAGGATTAAATGCAAATTTAGGTTTATGGACAACTTCATTAGAAACAGGAGCTAAAGGTTTTAAAATAAGTAGTACTAAAACAAAATATATGCAATGTAAATTTAATAATAATAGGAGTGTGAACCAGGGTGTACTTTTGACTGGATTCCAACAACTTACTCAACATAATCTCTTCTGCTGTCTTGGTTCAATAGTTCATAACAAAGGAGGGATTGAGGAGGATGCCACCCATAGAATTAGTCTGTGGAAGGATGCATCTAGAATCTTATATCATAGGCAAATACCACTTCAAAAGAAAATTCTATGAAGCAGAGTGTTGAGCAGTTAATAAACAGCATGTCCAGAAAATGAATGTGGCAGAAATGTGAATTCTTAGATGGAGTTGTATGAAGGAAAAGATTATTAGAAATGAAGTCGTATCAAGAAACCTAGGAGTAGCTCTAATAAGCGATAAAATGAGAGAAAGTAGATTGAGATGGTTTACTCATGTGGATAGAAAACAATCTACAACACCTGTTAGAAAAAGTAATCTATTATAAGTTGAAAGGGCTAGAAGAGCTAGGGGAAGACCAAAAAGGACTTGAGTGGAAGTAATAATGAATGATTTAAGTTCCCACAATTTAACAATGGATATTGCACTGAACAAAACGGAATGGTGAAACAGGGTTTACAAGACCTATCAACCTCCATTTATAGGCTAATAATAATAAGAAACAAAGCAATATCTTACTGTTTAGATTTGAACTTTATTAGAAAATAAAAATTTCCTATTCAAACTAAGAAACTTTTATAGCTCAATTAATTCTATAATAATTAAAGAAACAGGAAAATACTATAAATATTAATTATAAAAATTAAAATAAATGGTAATTTTCTGGAAGATTGAAACTTAACTCTCTAATTTCTAAACCAACATGACCACACTTAACACAAAGACTGTTAATGTTTAAACCAACTGGTCAACATGTTTACTTTGACGTTGACTATGACCTGCATAACCCAAAGATCAGTCATTTTGAAGCCTTTACTTGGGACACTTCCATATATCTGGTTAAGCTGAAAATGTATGTTATTTAAGCATTATACTTTTACTTCCACCAGAATTTAACCAAATTGACCAAGGTTTGACAGGCCAAACAGTCACTTTTTTTGTTGTTGTCAATAGTGCATTCTGCAGTCCTGCTATCTGACCTCTTTTCTTCAATTTCATTCTTTGTTTCCATGTTTGCATAACCCTCCAATAGTTGATGTCCCAGGTTTTCCAAGGCTGTAACTATCAAAATTTACCTTTCCTATCTTTTGTAATTGGTAAAATTATCTTTCCTATCCTGTAAATAGATTTGTTGAAGGATTACAAAGAGCTACAGAGAACAAAAGGGAAATGGATTGAAATAGTTAGGAATTATTTAAGGGCCCATTATCTAACAATGGATATGGAACTGAACAGAGTGGAATGTCAGAACAAGATTCATGCAACCAACCCTATATAGTTGGGACAAGGCATAGTTGAGTTGCATCTTGGAAATAGATTTATTTAAACGTTGTGTTCCCTTTTTCATGGATAACATGCTATACTTGTTTTGGAAGTAATGTCATTTTTGATGGTTTCTTCTGAACATTTTGTATAAACGTTTTATTCATTATAGGCAGTTGATGATCGAACTATTGGTCACAATCCAGAGAGGTTAAGTTTACTGAAAGGTGGCATTGTTTATAGTAATGCAGTTGTGTAAGTACATCAAAGATTTTATCGAAATGTCTAGTTTCCTACCATATGTATGTCTGGTTCAAGCAGTTCTATTGCTTCTTGTTGTGGATATTACATGCGTACATCCTTTCTTGTATTGCTATCTGTTCAGTTTTATAAATTTGTATGAGGATATGGAGTATAATGCTAAAAAACAATGTACCTAGCACCCCTCTTAGTTTAGGCGAGTACTTTCTTTCCACTCACACACCCCCCCCCCCTTACATTTATGTGAGTCCACCCCCTGGGTATTGTAACCCTCCAATACAACTGTTTTTTATTCACTCCTTTCTTGGCCAAAGCATCTCCAACTGTTTGCCAAGCTTTTAGTCAAACTGATTTCTACTCACTCTTTGCTCCCTAGCTAGACTTTTGCTTCTCTCAGTATGTGTTTATGCTGCCATGTATCTAGACTGTATTTCTAAGCCAAATAATTATGAACCTTGAGTGCCCTTTCACAATAATATACCAGTAATTTTAACTTTTCCCGACTTTAACTCTTGAAGCATTGTCATCAGCTCTGCTCTTGTTAGGGGTGCAACTTGGGTGGGCCCAGCCCGAAATTTTTTACGGGCTGGGCTTGGATTTTCGGTCCTCAGGCTGGGCTCGGGCCCAAGAAGTTGGGCTTTTTTATTTTTCGGGATGTGCCCGGGCCTAGCCATTAGGTAGCCCGAATCCGGCTTAAGCCCAGCCCAACTATACATTTTCATACATACACATTTGTATACATATTTAGTTATATACATACATATTTACATATATACATAAATATATGTATACATATTTGCATAAATACATATATATGTATAATTTTAGAGTGAGTTCATTGACCAACCCGAGCCCGAGCCCAACCCGAGTGCATCAAATTACAGTATGGGTTGGGCTTGGGTTGGGAACATCGGGCTTGACCTTGGGCGTGAGCCTTAAGCCCAAATTTTAGGGTCGGGCCTTGGTTGACCATAAACCCAGCCCAACCCACTCAACTTGCACCCGTAGCTCTTGTTAAATCTCCTTGCCAATAGGTCCTCATAATCCGCCACAATATTGCAAAGATGATCCTTGATCATATGACCTATTAGAAGTGGTATTTTTTGTATTAGAGTAGGCAGAAGGGAAATCTTGTGCTTAAATCCTATCTATACATATTATTAAAATGAAATGTTACATTTTATTTGTCTCAAAGAACCTGGTTTCATTTTCCATCGTTACGCTCTATTTTATATCCTTTCCATTAATAATAGATTGATTTTTTTCTGACAGAATCCTATACTATATATATATATATATTTCACTTCTCAAACCAAAAGCCGGAGTGCTAACGCGCGCACTTCCATTTTCTCGCGCCGCTCGATCTAGMGCGCTAGCGCGTGCATCTGTTTTGAAGCTTGGTTATTAGGGGCCCTTTCTCCCTTAACCGTAGATGGCTTCTCGTGACCATCACTTTTCGCT